ATAAGAATCCTTCCTGTGGGAAAATGCTTTTATTTTGAATTCTTAAAAAAAAAAAAACATGATAGCATGGGACTTTGAAGGTTGAATACTAGAAGGAACTAAAGATTGCAATTAAAGGAAAAGAACAGTTAAATTCGACTTACAAATACAGAATGAAGCAAAATATTATTTGAACAATGGACCAAGAAGTTAATTTTAAGAGTGTCTGCCTCTATAGATATGTTTAAAAGATGTTATGGAAGAGGAACAAGTTTTACCTGACAAGATTGAGACTGATCTGAAAGTGGATTTAAAAATGACAGGCTACAAGAATGATATGGAAAAAAAATGCTGGACATACAAAAGAAACTGGCTAAAGTCTTAATAATTAAAAGGGATATACAAATAACAAACCAAAAGAGTGACCTGGATAATTTTCCTATATTGGATTTACAAAGAGGCATATTAAAGCTTTGAAGAATTTTGTGAGAAGGGACAAAAAATGAAAAGAAATCAAGTTCTAGGACATTATTGGAAGGGACTAAAGATCAAGACTGTTAAAAGTAAAAGGAATATAAAATTGGTTTATTTGATTAAGGTTAAAATAGATATGTTGTTATCTCTGGTAACCCTTAATGGACTTTTGCTGATCAGGACTGAACGACAATACTTTAAGGATTTGTTTATAGATAAGAGATGGAATATGAGAAGAAGAGATCATTTGTTGTATTTTAAGAGAAAGTGATAAGTTATTAAAATTGTTTATACTTGTGATGAAGGGGGAAATCATTTCTTTATATATTTCTTTTCTTTTTCTTTACTATACTCTTTTTCTTCCTTTTCTTCCTTTTTCTTCCTTTTCTCTTTTCTGCACTTTCTATTTTTCTTTTTTTTAGTTTGTATTTTTATCATTGCAATTGTAATTTTTAATAAATGTACTATAAAAATTATTTTTGAAACTAAAAGTAATTTCAGAAATGATATATAATTTAGCAACACCACCTGCAGTTCAAAATAATTTACCTAGTTTTTGATACGTTATGGAAATCTTACAGGAACCACGGAAGTCATAATTTGAAAGTGAAGGGAAATCAATGTAATTTGTATTTGCATATTTTAAAATCTGTCAACCCTTGCCTTTCTTATTAGGAATGGCAAGAGTCAAGTAGAGATGGTTCAATGGGGGCTTGCTGTTTTAGTGTGCTGGGAATGTTTTGAGGCAGCAATTCCACTGAATGAGGAATATAATACAGTGAACTTTCAATTTTCTCTATGCGCACTGCTCAGTATGTGTAATGTGTGCAGAAGCTTTTAATGTATATAGCATGAAAGAAAAAGCAGAAGGTTATGGCTCTTTTCACTACTGGAATGTGGCTCCCAATCTTTCTTTGAAAAAATGCAAATATGAAGCCAAAATTGTTTCCTTATCCTTACAGTGTTCTCACAAAGATCAAATAAGCAAATTCCTCAGTATCATCTCATTCACTCCCCAAGGAAAGAAAGCTCGCAAATGAATTCTGGTAGTCTGGCAGGTATTTCCCTACTCCTCTGAAAAGTCTTCTGTTCTGTGCTCCCTGTATCTTCTAGTGGGCCAGTGGCGCTTTACTATAATGAGAACTATGCTCTTTGAGAGAGAATTTTAGTAATTGCAAATTGATACATGGTAAAAATAGATCTTATTTGCAGTGCTCCTAAAAGCCTGGAGCATAAAATGTTAAGCATATTTCACGTCTAGGTTTCAGAATTAATACTCATAGAAGTATGTTATTGGCATTACGTAAGCTCGTGGGAGCCCAGGAAAGGTATTTCTACAGAATTTGAATACAAATATGGACCAAGAAGCACAAAGTACCAACTCCAACTTCTTTTTCCAGAAGCTAGATGGCTTTACCCTACCTTCTTTTTCCCTTGCCTTTATTTCTTCCATTCTTCAGTCAAACTGTCTATACCTTGGCTCTCTTGTTGCCAGTCCTTGATCCTATAGTTCTCTTAGTTACTTTGATTATTCTGCCACCACTGTTTTTCTTGCCCCCATCTGCTTTGGTCTTCCTAAGTTCCTAGATGTTTCTTCCCACCTTCCCATCCCTTGGCTCTTCTTTCCTCCATACCTGCTTTACCACTGCCCTTCAATCTTCCTCATCTGGACTCTGACTTAGAGAAGTACAAAGGCCCCTGAGGATGCAAAACTGTACACAAATAATCTATATTTCCTCCATAGCCATTCCTGAAGACAGCTGATTTTGTGATCTGTAGGACTTGCTCTGAACTGAAAATGGCAGATGAATACAACCTGCATAATCTCACAGGATAATTAATAGTACTTTTCCCTATCCTGATCTGACAGTTCAAGAGACAATGGACTGACAAAACAGTTGAAAATCATGGTAATTCCTCCTCACTTCAAACCTAGACGTTGAGTGCTCTCAGGCTTGGAAAAGACATACCACTCAACAATAAAATGGGTATCTAGCTGTGACAAGAAATCCTGGACAATGCCTCTTTATGGGATTTACAAAGTAGGCTGGTGAAAGCTTTGAAGACTCCTCTTGAATGCCAACAACCCCTTTGAGAACAGATGCCATGGCATTCCTTTCTCACCACTACTCACACGGCAGCAGATGTGGGGGTGTCTCTCCAAAGCAGTAAGTAGCTGGATTTTATGAATAAACTTATATTAATTGTAATCATCCTAGTGTTTTGTTATATATATTCCTTTTTTGGTATCTGACCTACAAACTCCAAAGCCAATAATAAATGTTTTTGAGATTTTGTAAATTTAATATCTTGTTACTAGGTACGTGGATTAAGGGATCAGGATAAAAGTGGGGCCTCTATAAGCAGGAGATATGTGGAAGAAGGAAATAGTACAGGAAGGAGATTAATAAATAAATAACTGGCACATCAATGTTACTTATAATGAAGGCACCTTCAGGGTTAAATCAGCCCTTCCCTCTTAGGTACTTCCCATGAGCAAAACTCCACATATTTCTATGACACTCTGGAATGTAATTATATATGTCACACATCTTGAGCGCTTTCTGTAATATGTAAGCAGGTTTCTCCCCCTTTCCTTCTCTTTTCAGTTATCTCTTCCTCTCCCCTCATTTCCATCCAGTTTGGCTATTCCTTCCCCTTACAGATACTAGATTTGGGATGCAAAAATCCAGACAAGTACAATATGGCAGCTTCCGCTTAGTGGTTGTCATGTCTTGCAGCCTAGAGATGGTAGCCCTACCTACCCTTGTCCAATGAAACATCTCATTTTTTTGCCATTTTTTTCTGGAAGGACAGAGGGGAATGTTTGTGCATGTTTCTGTGGGAGAGAATGGTTGGTATATGTAGATAGACATTCGATGAATTTTGTAAGTGGAAATTTTACAAGAATGACTTATTTTACAGGAATTAAAGTAAGTCATTTTGTTGTCCTGGTTCCTGTTTTTTTTCCTCTTTGGAATGTGACAGGTATATATACACAGGTAAATGCACACGTGTGTCACATTTAATGGGAAGAGGGAATCTCCTTTTTCTGTTTCCTTTTCCTGAAACATTCCCTCTTTCTTTGGAGGATGAACTACACTATCAGGCTTTTGCTGCATAAACTTGTAAATCCAGATTCCAAAGTGTGTGTGTGTGTATGTGTACACAGGTAGTTCTCACTTAATAACCACTTGTTTAGTGACTGAAATTACAACGGTGCTGAACAAAGAGACTTACAACCAGTCCTTGCACTTACAACCGCTGCAGCACCCCTGTGATCACATGATCGCGATCCAGGCATTTGGCAACCAGGCATTTGCACTGATGATGGTTCCAGCGTCCTGGGGTCATATGATTGCCATTTGTGATCTTTCCAGCTGGCTTCTGGCAAGCAAAATCAATGGGGAACTGAGTGATTTGCTTATTGGCCATGGTGATTTGCTTAATGACTGCTGCAACAGTTGTAAAATCAGGCGTGACTCGCTTAACAACACACTTTCCGGTCCCTATTGTGGTCATTAAGCGAGGACTACCTGTATATACACACATTCACCTACACATTCACCTAAAATGGATGGAAAAGCATTTAAGAACTGAAAGATACGTACACATAATTTTTGATGCAGTGTGCTGCAGTGAGCACTGAGTTGTTATTAATTAAAGCTCCTGCACATATATGACGATATGCTCCATCACTGTAGTGAATCTGAAGGCTAACTTGCCATGGCCATGCCCCAAGTTCAGCATCATGTCCACCTATAATCCGGGACCCCACTGTGGACTCATCCATAAGAGGCCTTGTTCCACATTCTGGAAATGAAACACATTTATTATGGTGAGAGGTAATGTTTCTCTGAAAGATTAAAATAAAGCCAACATTCAACAATATATTAAAAATAGATCCTAAGAACTATATCTTACTAGAAATTGATGCAAAAAAATTTACCAGTTTTCTTGGTTCAGAGGATAGCAATATAAATTTTTAAAATGTTCTTAAACAGCCTGAAATAAGGTGTCTGGTAGTACCTTTTCTGACTAACCAATTCTATTAAAAGGCTTGTGAGCTGCAACTCACAAAAGCTTATGCCTTTTAATAAAATTGGTTAGTCAGAAAAGGTACTACCAGGCTCCTCCTGAGTTTTTGCTACCACAAGCTAGCACAGCACTCCTCCTACAGTTTAAAAGGCATCCGTTATTAATACAATTTACACACTTCATTTTTGCTAGATGCTTGAAAATGTGGAATAAATGCATGATCTCAATGAAACTTAGTACCATATACTTAAGGTCTTGTTAAGTCGGGTATGATTAACAATATGTGCATATCTTAATTCAAAATCCATGATTTATTGCCCATTTTCAAAGCTAATACAGGCATAATGACAAGTCTTTCCCCACTTGCACCTAACCATGACATGAATATGTCTTTGCAGCTTTTTTTTTGTTTTGGGGGGTGCACCTTGTCCTCATGATGTTACAAGGTATGCTAGTAAAGACTTACCTGCTTTGTACTGGAAAGAAGGAAGGCTAGTCCTACACCATGTGATATTCCATTGCAGAGCTTCTTTGGTATCTTCTGCATTTGATAATTCTTTAAAAATTGCATTGTTAATGCTTCATTTTTCAAATAATTCCATGACTGTAACGCATGATGGGCCTATATGCAACATTATGCAAGCTAAGAGTCGTCTTCTGAACTTTGAAGCTCCCAAACACCCCAGTTCCAAGTAACAAATGAGAGAGGAGAGAAGGTCTGAAGTATGCTCCCGAAGAGTTTCCTGCAGTCGCTGCTCAACGCAATCTCACTTCTGTGACAAAACAGTGGGGAATGATAGGATTCTTCTGCCATTGGGCCCTAGCCCCTTCTGGGGATGTTGGCTTTAGTGGAATACATCCTAGTGTTTTTCATAGGAATGAGAAATTGGGAAATACAAAGTGAATATGTTTGCCTCCATCCAGCTGATTGGGGGGGGGGAATTGCAATTTCTGGCACAGCTTGAAAGCCATGCCAAAAACTGTAAGTGAACATTTTTATACAACTTCACCATCACTGCCCCAGGCATCTACATAATTATATTGTCACTTCCAGAATTTGAAAAACCCAGCAACCCAGGCTGTAGTGATTGGCAGAGGATGGCATTTGAAAGATTATTATCATGATGTGAGGAAGTTCTCCAGGGCATTTAGGAATCTATCAGTTCCTGAGGCCAGGCTATCTTAACAGGCCCCACAGCTGCAGAGATTAGTTGTTCTTCCACACTGCTACTATTTCCATTCCCAAATGTGGCAAAATTTATTTCAATAATAATTAAAAAAATTTTTTTAGATTATTTATACTGTCTGTGTTTTCCACTTTGTATGTGAGAGGCCTAGCATGGTCTTACTTTTTTAATTGTCTCTTGTAATAGGTCATTTCTTACTTGTCTTGTATCAGTTGAACAAGGCAGGATCAGTAAGGCAAGGAAACCCCCACTTTCCTCCATGTTTTTAATTTATGTTACTTACATTCACCCAGTGACAATGGTTGTTGTTTTTGATTGGAAGATGCAAACCCCTGTTGTTATGAAGGGATGATGATTTCAGTCCAGGAGCCACAATGAGGCAAGCCACAGTCCTAACATGTACATTGGGAATCAAGCTCGACCTGAAAGAATCTTTTCTACCTCAAGTTATGATAGACTCCTGATAACTACGTGGGTACATTCATGTATGTTTTTCTTTTCTTTTTTTCTTTTGAAACATATGGAAACAGTTTGCCACAGCTGTATTCCAGGATGCTCTTTTGACTTTGATTTCACAGTCCAGTCTACAAGCCTGATGGTCTCCCATTCAAAAACTAGTCAATTCTGACCCTGCTTAATTTTTTTGAGATTAAGAATTTAACAAAAACTCATCATTTACAGACAACTATACTTGATCAGGCTACATACTAAGTCATAATGTGCATCTAGAAAATATCTGAAACTAGAACAAATCCATAGTCAAAATCCCATTGCAGACAAGGAAAATGTTGAAATCACCCAACGTCACCTGGAAAAAGAAAACCATCTCTGCCAGGTAAAGCAGCAGACTATTGGGCAGCAAGAATATCTCAATCTTTTAATTCCCCCTTTATTTTAGATAGCTTTTACATGAATGCCCTGACAAGTCTGAAAATATTTATTTCACATAAACAAACTTCAAATATGGCATTTTTAGAACTGAAGCTCAGCTTGACCTTAAGGGTTCTTTTCTTTTTTAAACAATAAAGGGTGAAATGTTCTTGACAGATTTTGAAATTAACCACAATGGTTATATTATAAAGAAGATTTATGCACTTTCATTGAAAGTTCTTTTTACAAGACATTTTGACCCACATTTACACACTGCAGAAAAGTTGAGTGGATCTGTAGATAAGATAGGGAAGAAGGGAATTTTGATCATAAATGCAAGGCAGAGAGGAAAGACTTCATAGCCTCCTATTTAACACTACTTCACAGCCTAGTCAATGTATTTTTCTAAAAATAAATGCTTGGAGGATCAGCAATGGTACTTTCTCATAGACCATTCCCACCCTTCTATACTAAACTATATCACAGAGCTGTAAATCACACACAACCTGTATCTGTAAGATTAACTAGAGTGGGGCAAAAAAGTATTTAGTCAGCCACCAATTGTGCAAGTTCTCCCACTTAAAAAGATGAGAGAGGCCTGTAATTGTCATCATAGGTATACCTCAACTATGAGAGACAAAATGAGAAAAAAAATCCAGAAAATCACATTGTCTGATTTTTAAAGAATTTATTTGCAAATCATGGTGGAAAACCTCCAAAGGTTTTCCATGGGGTTGAGATCTGGAGACTGGCTAGGCCACTCCAGGACCTTGAAATGCTTCTTACGAAGCCACTCCTTCGTTGCCCGGGTGGTGTGTTTGGGATCATTGTCATGCTGAAAGACCCAGCCTCCAAAGGTTTTCCATGGGGTTGAGATCTGGAGACTGGCTAGGCCACTCCAGGACCTTGAAATGCTTCTTACGAAGCCACTCCTTCGTTGCCCGGGTGGTGTGTTTGGGATCATTGTCATGCTGAAAGACCCAGCCTCCAAAGGTTTTCCATGGGGTTGAGATCTGGAGACTGGCTAGGCCACTCCAGGACCTTGAAATGCTTCTTACGAAGCCACTCCTTCGTTGCCCGGGTGGTGTGTTTGGGATCATTGTCATGCTGAAAGACCCAGCCTCCAAAGGTTTTCCATGGGGTTGAGATCTGGAGACTGGCTAGGCCACTCCAGGACCTTGAAATGCTTCTTACGAAGCCACTCCTTCGTTGCCCGGGTGGTGTGTTTGGGATCATTGTCATGCTGAAAGACCCAGCCTCCAAAGGTTTTCCATGGGGTTGAGATCTGGAGACTGGCTAGGCCACTCCAGGACCTTGAAATGCTTCTTACGAAGCCACTCCTTCGTTGCCCGGGTGGTGTGTTTGGGATCATTGTCATGCTGAAAGACCCAGCCTCCAAAGGTTTTCCATGGGGTTGAGATCTGGAGACTGGCTAGGCCACTCCAGGACCTTGAAATGCTTCTTACGAAGCCACTCCTTCGTTGCCCGGGTGGTGTGTTTGGGATCATTGTCATGCTGAAAGACCCAGCCTCCAAAGGTTTTCCATGGGGTTGAGATCTGGAGACTGGCTAGGCCACTCCAGGACCTTGAAATGCTTCTTACGAAGCCACTCCTTCGTTGCCCGGGTGGTGTGTTTGGGATCATTGTCATGCTGAAAGACCCAGCCTCCAAAGGTTTTCCATGGGGTTGAGATCTGGAGACTGGCTAGGCCACTCCAGGACCTTGAAATGCTTCTTACGAAGCCACTCCTTCGTTGCCCGGGTGGTGTGTTTGGGATCATTGTCATGCTGAAAGACCCAGGGGTGGGAATGGTCTATGAGAAAGTACGTGTTCTTTGGATGCAACTCAGCATTCTCTCTCCTCCAAACACAACAAATTGAGTTTAGACCAAAACATTCATGGTTTCATCTGACCATACGACATTCTCCCAATCCTCTTCTGGATCATCCAAATGCTCTTTAGCAAACTTCAGACAGGCC